CCTACTAGCCACCTTTGCACCCCCGAATCGTTTGATGATAGTCAAGACCGCCATCTATGGAATCCGAGCTCAGGTAGCTCATGTTTACCTTGAGCCCATTGCTCCCGGCCTTCAAGCAGACCGATTCTACAAACTGAAGGAGACATACAACAAGAAGGTGATCACGAGCTCGGGTGAAGCCATGTGGCTCATCCCCTCTAGAACCCCTGCCAAGCGCGCCAAGAATCGGGCCACAAAACTCGCTGCAGAGGCGATAGCTTCTTTGTGGATGGCCGAGCAGGCTCAGGAGCCAGAGATTGGCTGGCAGAAACAAATCATCTGGTATGGCAACTCCAGGGTTGCATCTGGGGATGAGGCGTCCTTGATGGCCTCTGGTGGCAGGGTGTTCACCAGAACCTTCGGAAACAATCACGGCGATGCCAGAGGCGAGCCGGCCCGGTACTTCTTCAACCTCACTGCGTTGGCTCAGCATACCAAGTTACCTGAGAACGAGATCGAAATTAAGTTGCAACAGTTTGGTGCTGCCTGACCCAGCCCGAACCACCCTGTACATGCCCAGGAACTCCTTTATACAGATACTTGGAACATCCAGGGCAAAGCTATGCATGTCTTACTGGAGTGGATGCGGCTTGTGGATCCAGATATAGAGTTCCTGGCCTTACAGGAGGCGCCACAGGTCTCCTGGATACCCGAACCCCTCCCGATGTTGGATTACTGGGACCTCTCCAAGAATTTTGTTTCCAGGATAGTCTACTCGAAGACTTCCATGCACTTGGTAGCTCTAACCTGGAGTCATATCTCTCCCAGATGATTCTTCTCTCCAAAGCTTCCATAGACCATGTCTTCGAAACATGCAAGGGAGAGAGGTTGATTGGTGTTGGGTATGTTCCGGCCTCGAGCAATCAGCCGCGATGGATGTTCTCAGTACATTTGCCTCATAGTGATAGTGATGACGAAACGTTTCAGTCGAGCCTACGTGATCTTTCAGGCTTTTGCAGGAAGTGTCAGGCAGGGGAGGCAGTCTTCATTGGCGATTTCAACTGCGAGAGGGGTAGTCCCAGAGCTACCCAGCTTGAGTCTGTTTTTGCTGCCTTTGGATACAGCTGCCTGAGACCTGGCGCTGCTACTCGCTTCGGGAGATCATCAGGGTCTGAGCTCGACTATGCTTTCATAAGTCGGCGATTGTGTGCTCAAATTCAGAGGACCCCTGACACTGTTCGCTTTGTGGTACAGCAATCTTCCAGGAGAGAACTCCCGAGCGATCATTGCAGAGTCACACTGGAGCTTTCCCTTGCGGTTCGCAAGCCTGCCAGACACAGGGTTCGCCCGAGACGCGGTCGTTGTGCCCGGTGGGCTGTGGGCCCCAACCTCCCGAACCATGTGGCCAGCATCGCACCTTCATTCCAGGGTTTGTGCTTGCAAGGGAAATGGGAGTCTCTTAAGGCCCTCAGCGTCCAGACCACCTTTCGGGTTGCTTCGCAGAAATACAGAGATAGTCAGCATTTGAAATCCTTGTGTAAGAGACGGAGGAGCACGAGTGACTACGAAGAAAGGTTGCAGTTAACAAAGGTCATTTTGGCTAGGAGGAGGGCTGAACGGCAGGAGTGGCTTAGACAGCTGGAACAACGAGCCTCCGAGGGCCAACCAGCTGCGATCAAGTATCTCCGCAATAGACCACATGTTCGTGCCGATATGAGTGGTCTGATTTTGGCCCATGGTGATGCACAGACAGCGGCGAGGACACTCCAAGACCATTTCTCGACTCTGTTTTCGCCGCAGATACCTGATGCAGATAAGGGGGAGATGCAGGATATCATTCAACAGCTTCAGTACACTGCAGGTTCATTTGTGGTTACTTGCTTTTCCGAGGCTGAGATTGCCGAGGGTGTAGTCAAACTCAAACCGGGCAAGACTTCAGGTATTTCGGGCATCAGTGCTGAGCTCCTGCAAGGCCTATGGGCACTGGATGAAGGCAAACAGATGCTCAGTTCTTTTATGAACGATCTCCTCATGGAGGCTGAGCACCCCGCCGATCTGCACGATAGCTTCGTGACCCTAGTCCCCAAGATAAAGAATGTCACGCAACCCCACCAGATTCGGCCAATAAATCTTGTGGAGGTCTGTCACAAGTTGTATTGCAGCCTTCTCTTGAATCGTATCCTTCGTGCTTGGCCTCAACCCCCTCAACAATATGGAGCAGTACCAGGTGGACAGGTCATGGATGCATTGGCTGCTGCAGGGTGGAGGGTACTGCATGAGAGCATGACAACTGACAGAGGCATTTGGATAAACACAGACATACGGAGTGCATTCGATTCAGTTAGCCACTTGGCCCTCTCGCGATACATTCGTCACAACACGCTGGACCATCTGGCCAGGGAGGGTCTACAGCTGTTACGCGCTATCTTGCATCCACGCCTACTCTTTCAATGGAGAGGTTGGGATTGGAGCCTTGAACAAGGGCAAGGGGTGCAGCAGGGTCACACGTTTAGCGCAGTGGTCTTTGCACATGTTATTGGCAGTGTTCTTCATGACGTGTCTCAACAGTGGAAAGCTTTGGGCTATGATACGACTATCGGGGAATGGGGTTTCTTATTCGCGGATGATCTACTCCTGCGTTTTGACAACTGGCATACTGCTGCTGCACTCGTACCTCTGCTCCAAGCCCGGCTTGCTTCGATAGGGCTGCACTTTAATGTTTCGAAGTCCCAACTCATGGCACACTCCGAGGATCTCGCTGTTGGACGTAGAATGGATCTTCCTCCAGATCACTTTCTGAACAACATTGCTTGGGTCACTTGTACCAAGTACCTGCGCAAGGATCTTAGGTTCCTAGAAGTTGGCGAGGACCTCTGCTCGGTGCACTTCGATTTTCTAGCCAGGGCGGTGCACTGCGGAGTGATGGAGATGCGACCAGTGCTCAAGGGGCTTAGCTGGGGATGTCCTAGGCTGGCGATTCAGCTCACCAACAGATATATCGGCAGTAAATGGTTCTGGATGAGTCCACTCCTCACTCCCACGGGTGCGAACATGGATCGAGTTCATGTTTTGCAGACTACGGTGTTGGGTACGTTCCTTCAGCTATATATCCCTGCCCAATGTCGACATGACTTGGCTATGACCCTTCACCGACTGCGCCGAAGGGCGGTGCACCTCCTCTTGAGCTTCACTAGCCACCAAGCATGGACGTGCATTTGGCGTCTCAGGTGCTGGACGTATTATGGGCATCTGCTCCGGAAACCACCCGAACACCTTACTCGTAAGATCTTCCTGGGACTTGTGCATGCTGTTCGTCCCCAGGGTGGTTTCCCAAACACCCCTCTAAGATGGCTTCGTAGCGCAGTGTCTGATGCGTATGGCATGCT